TCGTACAAGTCTAGCGAATGCAGGAGTGCTAAGGCAGCAGTGTGCCAGGGAGTTATCTACCTCTGACTCATGATACAGGCGGGCTTTCTTAACCCCACCTGACGGACTAGGGAGCCGACACTGATGCTCTCGAAGGTGCAGAGTGGCCCCGACTGCCTCTCCCCAATTTGTACCAAGTACTATATCAAATGGGAGATTCTCTTCTACGAGGAGAGTCAAGGAGTGAAGGACTTTCTCTACCTTCCCTCCTTGTTCTAGGCGAAAGTACGCCTGGACTCCCTCGACATATTCCTCGACCGCATCGTGCGGTTGTCTGCGAGGATAGTGACTATAGGTTCCTTCAACGTTTGGACTTTGAGGCCTAGCCTCAACTTCTTCATCGCTTTACGATTGATATAACTCTTGGTGCCCCATTGTCTATAAGGGCCCCTACTCTAGCTCTAAGGACCTCTATATCTGCGAGGATTAGTTGCCCCTTTCCATCCTTCTTCATTTTGGCCTAGGCCAACGTTCTCTCTTTCAACTCTTCAGCTAGGCCTGTGGGGGAAGCGTCTAGAGAGACCCTAACACAAGCAGTCTCTGGGCAGCTAGCTAGACGTTGGCCAGCAACCTATGCCATGGAGATACGTGGAGTGAGAGTTTCTAATTCGTGCGCATGCTCCTCTCTACATCCTCCTCGAGTAGGGCCAGTTGCTACCTCTACCGGCGGTTGCCTTTGCTGCCCCAGATGCAGCACGATCCCTATACTTTGGGCATAATTTGATGATGTGCCCAGGGTCTCCACAGAACACTCATTGGTATTTGTCTACGCGGTCCTGCCAAACATTCTGCCCTATTCCCAATGACTCCCAAGGCCACCCTTCGGGCCTTCCAGGGTGCCATCTTCCTCATCTGGGAGGTGCTGGAATGTGGACTGTTAGATGGGGGACCTTAACCCCTTCCTCCTGCTTGGCAGTCCTGTCTGCCGCCAACCCCCTGGCCGCCCTGTATGGATATAGAATTTTGTTTTTCATTTGTGTATTGCTTTCTATCTTTATTCAATTATTTATAAAATCCAAATCAATTAAATAAGAAAATAAGAATAGTTATTCCCAATACATTATTCCTGCCTCGGCCTCGTCCTCCTCCTTGCGGCCTCCCTCCGGCCGCGACAGCAGCGTAGGAACTCCCCTTCTCCACCCTAATGTCTTCCTCTTCTTCTAATAGTCCCCATTCGATATCAGTATATGGGACTTCCTCCGCACCACCTTCCTCCATTGTAAGAATCAAACTATCTTTGGCCTTGACCTGGCCAGAGATCGTGCGTCCTTTCCACTTTTTCCCCTTTGTCAGATCCTTATCCCAGAAAGTGGTAACTGGCATAGTTCGGGCAGCAAACGTGACAGCCTCTCTACTAAGGGCATTGTATGTCATTCTGCGTTGTTGCTTTTTAGCAAAGAAGTGCCCTTGCACTTGCTTGGGCAATGTGTGGTAAAAGAGTTGGATGAGCTGGGCCTCAGTCACTCCGTGTCCTAGCACAACGATAAGCTCGTCCATGGCGGCCTTTAGAGCATGTACGCTTCTCCATTGCAGCGTAAGGATTGTATGGAGTTTGTCTGACGTCTTTATCGCGCTCGTGGTGTCCGCAAAGTGTTCTCGCAACTTGGCGAGAAATTCAGTGAGGTGGGTGATGGTGGAGTACTGGATCATTTCGTTCTCGCAGTGGGCTGCGCGTGCGAGCGACCGTGCGAAGCTGGCCGCTTCCTCTCTCAAAGGCTGAAAGGCTACCAAGACATGATCCTTGGGGGCTACGCCCTGTAGGTACATACATAAATGGACGTTGGCCTCCCAATCATCAAAATCCTCCCCCTTCTTTCCACTATATGGCTCGGGGAAACAGACCTTGACCCTTTCTCGACCGGGTTGGGCCTCTTCCTCCTTGGGGGCTGCTAATTTGGCACCGTCTATCGGGTCTGTACAAAACTTCTCCGTCCTCCCTATAGCTCTATGGATCTCCCCAACTAGATGGGTCATCATGTCTTGCGCAAACTCTCGAAATCCATCTCGTATGGACACGAACGAGATATCATGACCGCAAATATGTTTCAACTGATCTTGCTGAGCGGTCAGGATGAACTCTACGCTACGGGACAGGGTGTCTATCTTTTTTCACAAGTCAGTATCTTCCCCTATTTTTCGTAGTCATGTATGTGCCGCCTTCAGTTCTTTCTCCATCCGATCTGCCACCTCCAGGCGCCTCCTCCTTTCTTACGCAAGGCGCAACTTCCACTCCAACTGCTTTTCTTGTTCCCTAGCTTGCTGACGCAAGGGATCCCTTTCAGCTTCCAACTCTCTGTTAACCACTTCTCTCTCTTCCTAGCGAATCATTAACTCTGCCTCTTTATCTTCCCCCAACGATAAGTTAGCTACCCATTCCGTTACTACCTTCTCCACCTCCTCTGGTGGAGTCATACTGGAACTTGCTTTCCCCCTTCTCTGACCAAAGCCTCTTCTTCTTCGACTTCTTCTTCTTCTTCTTCTTCTTCTACCTCTGCCTTGACCGCAGCCAACTTCTCTTCCTGCTCCTTCTTCCATCTTTCCATCTCTTCCTCCATCTATTTCTTTTTGGTTGCTTCCTCTTCTAGTAAGGCCAATTTCTTGGCCCGTCTGATCAACTCTTTCTTCTCTATCGAAGAATTGCGGCAACCCTATCTTCCTGTGCCTTACTGTAGGGGGTGGTGCTCGTTCCGGTCCTGGTGGTCACCACGTTGACAGGGCTCAATCACTAACGATTCCACTCCTCAACACGTAGACCTACCCTTTAGACTTTGAGTCTCTATAGGACTACAGAGATCTCCCTTTTGCTTCAGCCAGGTTACCATAGCCGTCGGATGCTTTCGCAACCAGAGTCACCAGACTTTCCACTGCCGAGGGATGTGAGTGCAACCACAATCACTTGTCTTTCCACTGCCGTCAGATGCTTTCACAACCACAATCACCAAACTTTCCACTGCCGATGGATGCGCTCTCAACCGCAATCACTGAAACCCACCTGGCTTCCACTTCGGGTCGACACTCTGTCAACTACTCGATTCTAACCTAAGCTACACTAGTCTATCACTACAAGACCATTGGCTGATCAGGAGGCATTTTAAGGAGGTCCCCCACAACTCCTCAGGAATTCTTTAACGTCGCAGTCAGGATGACGATCACAGACAAGGTCCTCTCAAGACTTGGACAGACTGGACACCCACTCTGCAGCTCGGAGTCTGGGTAAAGTGTACCACCCAGAGCAAACTGTCGGTCTGTACCGGTCCTTGGGGTGTTTTCCCCGGTCGTCTAGCGTCAGATACACCTCAACCCCTACTAAGTCCCGTGCAGACACTGGCTCACAGCCCCTATCTGACCACATACACAGAGCCTATCGACTTGGACAGAAGTGACTCGATGCAGAAAGAGATGACAACTGACTCTCAGCAAGTACCAAGGTGAGTGTGCATCATCCACATGGCATAGGGACAAGGGCTAGGGCTTGAAGGGATTATACCGCACCTCGCTCCGCACTCCAGCTTGGTCAACAGGAACGGTCAACCCTCGCTGGTCAATGCTGGTCAATCGCTTGGTCAAACCTCACCGGTCAACCCACGGTCAACGCCGGTCAACTTTGGTCAACGCCAGTCAACGTTGGCTATGGCGGCTTCTTCTCCCTCCATAAACTTCGTCAACTTCGCCCTTCTTCTCCGTCGTCCTTAAGCTTGGCTATGGCCGACTTCTCTCTCCTCTCGGCCGGCTATGGCTTGCCTCACCTTCATCACCTCTCTCTCTCTCGATCTCGTCTACACCTCCTTCGTCCAACTTGTCTTCTTCTTCCTCCGAGCTTGGCGGCTATGGCCGCCGTCCGCTATGGCGGATTATCTTCTTCCTCCTCACGAGCGTCCTTCTCGCTCTCTCTGTCGCTCTCTTCTTCTCGCCGGAGGTCTCCTTCTTCATCTCGGCGAAAGGTGGGATGGCGCAGACAATGGGAACCTCGCTCCGATACCAGTGCAATCAGACTTGTCTTCAACCTCACTTTCAACATGCATACATATAGATGCCGATGGCGGACGAACTGTCACAAGGCAGAATCAGCAACAAGCGTGAGGCAGAATCAGATATATGGCCCTTGGCCAGAAACTCGGTATAAGTCAACTTGTCACAGCTTGCGGCTATGGCGTCCGAACGCCAGTCTTTATTCCCACCCGTACATTGTGTCCACCATCAGACTCACTCGCAAATACACACACGCTAGGATCTACACTGAATGTCCACGCACGCACATACACACACACTACGTCCTATCTGTTGACGTCAGCAACCTGGTGGCTATGGCCGCCGTCGTCTTCCTCCTCTACTAGCGGCTATGGCCTCTGCCCTCTTCTTCGTCGGGCACCTGCATACCTCCAATACACAAGTCGCACTAGCCGCGCTTCCGCATGGCTCATAGGCGAATGGATGAATAGCTGGGCGCTGCCTCTTTATTTATACCGTTTCGTCGTGGTCTGGCCTGCCTTCTGTCCCGGGCCCAAGGACTGTGCAGCCCCATCTGGTACTTGCTGACTAGACAAGGTCGACTGGGACTGCGACTGCGACTGGACTGTACTTTGCTGACTCACCTATGGACGACTGACTTCTACAGCCTCGAAAGGTCTAGTTGACGATTGTAGAACCTCCTAGGCTATGACTGACTGGCCCTTCGCTATACTTAGGGCTAACCTCCCCCTCGCCGAGTCAGCTAGCCTACTGACTTCTAGAAGATCCTGGGCTAAGGGCTGGACGGACCCTTAGGACTACTAATCCTATAGTCTACAGTTCAAGTCCACACGAACCTAACTACGTACACAACACACAGACATACGTATTAAAAGACAGATCGTGGGTTCAAGGCACACAGGGCTTCAGGTAACTGTACAAGGGTATGGGATACGTCTAGGGATCGAGCCCTGGGATCTGCACTTGCCGCATGAACTGGGTGGAGACCCTTACAATTCCAAGGTGTTTTATTCTTTTCTGGGGGAAGACAGTAGCATGAAAAACCTGTTTGCTTCCCATGTGGACCACGACTTGCACTATCTAGCACAATCCTGGCCCCTCTGGCCCACCCTTCTGTATGTTTCAGTGTCCTACTAAAAGAACATAACAACAACGACGAAAACTGTGTCCAGCATCCCCCTCTTCCATAGTATTCTTCTAGGGAGGAGGAGAGCAACTTCAAGAAACAGCGGCAGCATGAGCAACAGGAGGAAGATCAGGAGGAGGAGGAGGAAGAGAAAGTAAGGTGCATCAACGGGAGAGTGGAGAGTTAGAAGTTATCTTGCTCACCTAATCCCCCTGTTATGGAGCGCATGCGAATTTTTGTCCTCAATCGAAAGAACATGATCATAGTCTGCAATTGCATCTTCATACCTGCAGTGCAAAGAGAACAATCACGCTGGAATGAATTGTGCCTACATAGTCTATACATTCCCATTCATGGCAAGTGATCCATTACGAGGCAGAACTCCTGGTCAACTGAACTGCCTTCTTTCCTTCCCTGAAGAATACAGACTACCTATAGGTTACCTGTGACCCCCAGCCAGGCATGCTCTGAGGCACCTGGGCAAGTTGCCCACTTGGCACCTGCCCGCTCAAAAGGGCTGGAAGTTTTTTTTTTCTTTTTTCAACCACCGGTGGAGCATTTCTGTCCAGCACACAGTGAGATTACCAGGCTCGTATACAGGATAACTTGATTTTGATGATTTTAGGATTGGAAAGGGCACTACAGGATCCAGGGCTTCACTGTGTTACACAAGAAATAGAAAAGGAGGACCAATCGAGACGCTGATCAGTACAGACAACTTGGAAACTTAGGATCAGAAGCAAGTCAAAGAATAAGACATTGAGGCTATCTCAGGCAGGGGCGAACTAGTAAATAAGTCAGCTAGAGTCTAAGACTTGTACAAGAATCTCTGCAACAAAGTCTGATAGGCTGAAGGGTTTTAGCAAAGAGTACCCGCAGAAGGCCGAACCTGCAGTTCCAGCAAGTAAGGAGTATCTGACGGTCAACGAGCTGAGAGGAGCCCAAGTAGACAAGCTACAAGTATCAGAGCAAAGAGGAAACCGGAATAGCAACCAAAGAGCAGAAGTAGATCAGGCTAACTTAGGCGGGGGTGAGGGGTGGTACATCCTTCCTCCCGGAAATAATCAATGCTGTCCTTCGGACCTTCCTACCATAAGGGGGAGGAGTGTGTGTGAGTGCTCATTGTAATTCATTTGACTTGCCCGGGGAATAGGCGGGGAATAGGAACTGGACTGATGCTCCCAAGAATGGAAAAGGAGCCAGGAACGAAGTTTTTTTTTTTTTTAAGGATTGAAAAGTCTCCCTTTCTTCACTCAGAGACTGACAGGCAACCGTCAGACAAGCTACTGAGATCCGATGCCCACCAAGAGCAGCCCGACTCCAGGCTCTTTTCGTTTCCAGTGTTTTGGGTGGGTGCGGAAGGGAAGGGGGGTATAATTGGGTTTAAAGGGGGTTAGAACTTTGGAAAAAATTCAAAGGGGTGCACCTTTTTTTTTTTTTTTTTTTTTGCCCTCGAATGAATATGGAACTCAGAAATGACCCTCAGCCAAAAGTTGTTCGCATCCAGCAGCCTATCTCAGTTGGTAAGGCACGTAAGTGGTGTTCAGGAGGTCTTGGGCTCAATCCCCATTGGCATCATGTCTCCTGGGCAAGCTTGGCGCCCGCCACCTAGAGATAGGCCTTTTGGTCCCCCCGAGTGGCATTGAGCAGAGACTGCTGATGGTCATAGGGGGAAGGGACTGGAGGGGAGGCACATCGACTGGCCCATCAAAGCAGCTTGGTCCTGTTGCTACCGGCTGACGCCTGGCCGGTATCGCCCACCTGCTGTAGCAGGTATCACACCTACTGGTGGGTGCAGCTCCCACATGTTCCCTCGTTGGAGGCTTGGGCATGGATGTGGCTGCTATGGGGTTCCCCCCTGATACTATACTGACAATAAAAAAGGCCTGAATTGAATTGGTTGGGCTTAAAGAATTAGCCTTTTTAAAGGGGGGGGGGGGAGGGAGTTGTTTGTGTGGCAATTATTTTTTTGTGCTGCGGTTGTGCGGGACTTGGCCTCGGGCCTGAGACGGGTGGGTCATCCAGGCAGCCAGAGGCAATGTGGACGCCTGGCGTGGTATCCCAGGAGAGTACCTCTTTTCCATCCATGTTGCATGTCCAGCGGAGGGCTGACGACTTCACATCTATGCTTAGTTCCTTACACTTTTGCCATGTGATCGAGTAGAACGCAGAAAGACCTGGCCAACTGAACGACTTTCTGCCCTTCCTTACACATACATAGTACCTTTTTTTTCCATCCATGTTTTTCCCACCCTTGTGGCATGTCCAAGAATATGCTGGCAAGGCCACAGTGTTCTCATACATGACCTTGAGTGTGACAAGTATGGATTGGGCCGTGGGGCATTGTTGGCAGCCTGGCAAGGCGATGTGCAACCTCGTGCCGCTCACAATGCAACACTCCTGTGAGTCCAGCCAGGCGTGAAGGGTCGCAGCCAGGAATTTAGGACATGAGTTGGAGTCCTAGATACGAATGGGGAACTTCCAGTGCTGGTTCAAGTGGTCGGTCACAGGCACTTTCTGATCAGAGTCATAGAAAAAGCCAAAACAAAGTACAAATTTGAAATTTCAAACACACCGACGAACAGTTGCCTGCACAAAGTAGTCCGGAAATTACCGCCGACAATGGCGAAGATATTCAAATTTGATCAGAGGTGTCGCGACACCCAGATCAATCAAGGATGGCACGAAGTGTCTGATGTTCAGCGCTTCTTGGGAGATGACCACTTTTTTTGGGAACACCGTGCCCAGATACCCTTGCATCAGTCAGTGAAAAGAGTATGACGTACCCTGTTGGCACCCACAGCAGTTATGTTGCAGATCCCACGCGATGGTGGACCAAGGTAGGACTGTCAGCTCATGATGGAGAAGGATCAACTGATACGGGCGAAATATAAGTCTCAATGATTACGAATCCCTGGCTGGAAACGTAGCAGGCAGATTGGGGGGTAGAGAAACAAAACCAATCCGTGTGCCTCCATGACAGTCTCTCACCTGCGTGATAGAAGATGTCATGTTGTTGACAGGAACAGAGAAAGGTCACAACCATGCCTGGCCGGTAGTGGCCTGTGGGGGTCATTAAGAAAAGGCCCAGTTGGAGGCTCTAGAGCCTCAGAAGGTAGCTTCACACAAATAGGCTCGGTTGAACTGGTGCTTTAATTGTAGCTTTCGGTCAAAAAAGTCCATGTGTGAGTATGTCCTTAGGGTCAGGCCACACTGGTGCTATGTTCATGCTTGGGAATCATCAACCTGGTCATAAAAGCGGTCACATTCATGCTTTGCAAGCATGAACATAGCACCAGTGCAGTCTGCCCATTAGGGTGTAAGAACTGTAGGGATTATGATCTTAGGATGAAGGGTGATAACAGGCGAGGGGTGATTTAGCTGTCACAAGTGATCGGGAAGCCTTGGGGATCAAGAGCATAGAGCCTGCATAAAATTTGACGAGGAAATTTTGGGAAAAGAAACTTCAAGAAAGAGCTTCAACACGGAACACAAATTTTCTTCAGATGATTGAAGGCTCTCTTCTCTTTTCCACCAGGGGTTTGACAAGGGAGACAATTGTTGCACTCTTTTCTTTTCACATTGTGTTTTTGAACAGACGTTTCAGAATAGATCAGAGCAACGTCTGTAAGGTCCTGTGTTTCGAAAAAGAAAGAAGAAGAAGAAAATGAGGGTCCATTTTTCGTGAGGTGGTGTTGACAGTGCATGGTTGCGAGAGTTGCACACCTTCCCAGCTTGGCTGAGCAGTAACCTCTGTTGTTGAAGAGACGAATATTCTCTGGGCTGATCTGTATAGCACTCGAGTAATCCTGCGTGGATTTTGCAAATTCAAGGACAGGCCAGTTTTGATGTCTGCGCAGGTCACTTAGTGCAAGCCATTTTTACAGCGAAGGCGAAGAAACACACATCAATAATGTTTCAGGTTGCCAAAAGAAAACGAAGGGTCAAATAAAACACAAAACTGACACATTGCAAGAAAACAAAAAACTTGGCAAGGTAAATGAAAAGCCGAAAAATGGGGTCCCGGAAAGACTCGAAAGTTGAAACTCGTTCAGCTTTATTTATGTTAACACTCCTCCCTCCCCCCCCCCCCCCCCCCCCCCCCCCCCCCCCCCCCCCTCTTGACCCACCCTCTCCTGGGCTCCCTCACAAACAACAACAAGCCTATCCTTAAGAATGCAGCGCCATTCCATTTGGGCAGGAGCACCCTGCTGGTAGTGAGTAGCAAACTAAGGAACCTCACGTAAACCCCAGAGAAAGCACTGTATGCTTAAACCAACCTAACCTTTGCAAGCGCTGTGATCACCACACAGCTCGCCCATTTCAGCTGGTCCGCCAGATTGACAATCTGGTGGTTGTGGGTCTTTCTTCAATCCACAGGGATTGGCCTGATTTTCCAGGAGTGTTGGTGGTTTAAGGCTGTAGTTCTGATGCCCTAGATGTGGTTGCAAAAGACCTCAAGTCATTTTTCTGTCCCTTGTTTCCGTCTTTTCCACTTGAAACCTTGAACCTAAGCCTTGCCAAACTCTCTTTTCCCCCAGTGGATTTTGATCATAGTTCCTATGTGACTTACCTCTCTTTTCCTCCAGTGGATTTAGACCATCGTGCTTACTTGACTTACCTCTCTTTTCCTCGAATTGACCCAGACCTTTTCTCAGTGCACAGGCGGCTGCTAGCTCCCCTCAAAACATAGCTGACAGATCATCTGTGTATCTGCTCCATGTTTCTGAGTCTGTTGAGCCTAAAAGACCTACACCTCACTTTTTCTTTTTTGAGGTCCTAACCTCTGTTAGATTGTTAGTTGAGGCTTGCTGCAATGAACCCAGTCGGGAGGAACTCTTCAATGTCGAAATACAAGATGTCTCGGCGCCTGTCAATGTCTCCAATAATCATGAATGTGATCTGAAGCTAGGCTGGGCTGCCGCCTGGCCAGGCAGAGCCCAGCTGGGCGGACCCCCTGGCCCGCCCGGCAAACCCAGGTGACTCGAAAACCCCGCAGGATTTTTTTTTATTTTTTTTAGAAGGTGGGGTCTTGCTGTGCTCCCCCAGAGGACCCCAAACCTGCAATAAAAAAGTTAATCTGAGGGGTGGGGTTGGGGAGGGAAGAGGGGGAGGAGGGTTTGGGGTTTGACAGGAGGTAGAACAAGAAGAAAAAGAGGCAGCAGAAGAAGTGTTCTCTCTCTCTCTCTCTCTCTCTCTCTCTCTCTCTCTCTCTGAAGAAGAACTAACAACTTGCTGATGGAGACAATGGCACGCAGACTGTGCAGGTGCGACGACGGGCTGGGCTGATGGCGGGCGGGCTGGGAGCTGAAGGCGACAGCGTTACGACGGGCTGAAGGAGACGAGGGCGCGCGAACTGCTGGCAGACGATCATTGTAAAGGGCCGTAGGTTGGGGGCAGCGGGCGGGGAAACGCAAGGGAGGGAACTGGGGTCCTACCTCCACTACAAGACACTCTACATCCATGTGCGTGCTCCAAATGCATGTAGAGTGTTGTGTAGTGGAGCAAGGCCAAAAAAAATTGAAAGTGGGCCCAGTAGTTCACACCTTAAATGATTCAAAAGGACGGCCATTCTGGGCCGCCGATCTCTCGAGATCGGCGGTCCACATTGGTCGCACTTTTGAATCGTTTAGGGCGGGCTTACTGGACCCAGTTCGATGGTTTTTTACCTAGTGCACGTCTTGGGGGGCCGAAAAGGCCCCAAGCGTCCAAAGAAGCCCAACCCCCCCCCCCACCTATGATGCGCTGGGATCGCCCGGTTGGCAACCGGGTGGCACAACCAGCCAGGCGGCCCAAGCCGCGCCCCAGGCGACGTCCAAGTCGCCAGGCGGCCCGGGGTTCAGCCTAGATCAGAAGTACAATGTCTCGTAGCCAAAGGATGAAGCTGATAGGAGGGAGATAAGACTTAGAGGGTGGAAGAAAAAATATCCATCAATGTCATCGAAGATAGATCTCCCTCATATCCCACTCCTCCTTCAGGCATCTCCCCTCTTCCACGTCAGCAAACAATATCCCAAAGACAAGCCTGACAAGAACCGATCACAGCATACTGCCATGTAGGCGCAGATCTCTCATGAAGACATCTCAGCAGTGCGCAATGTCAACAGCATCAATCAGGTAAGCTTCCCCCTCCCTCTCACAACCAATCTCACAGCCCTGATCTCCCTCCTCGTTGATACCCCAATCGGTGTTGAAGACAATGTGGCAAGTGCCACGTCAGCAATCAAGTCCCAGCTGGCGCCAAGAGCAGAGAAGCGCCAGCATGCAATGCACCAATCTCGCATCGTCACCACACACAATGCCAGCGTAGTGCCAGCATCAAGCCAGCGTCTAGCCAGCGTCCAACCAACATCGTGCCAGTGTCAAGCAGCAAGTGCAAGACTGAATGTCGACGACAAGGGCTGGGTCAATAAGTAGTGTAGTCACAAGTTGACCAGCCTCTGGTCTCCCGGATACGAGGGCTCAGATTGACTCACAGTCAATGGCCTGGATCTCATACAGTTGAAGACTTCCACTTGGACCAGATTCTGCCTGGATACCTGCATACAACCAATGTGTGTGTCCGATCGGTGGCCTAGACTAGGTCCGTGCAGACTTTGACTCGTGAGCCTCAATATTCCGAGTTACAATTGACTTTAGTCAACTGTCGGGCACAGCCCAATTTCTGAGTTCCATCGCAGAAATTTTAGGCTAATTACCTTTTAGTCCACGCTCATATGCAGAAACAATGTCGGGAGCAGTAGGTAGAAGTTTTTTCTTACTGAACCATCTAGCTTCAAACGGGGGTTGAGATTTGAACTTTACCTTGAAATGCTTTTGTGACCTTCCGCTACCACCTGTAGAAAAGTATCCATGCTCCAATATCTTTTCAATCTCATATCCTTCCTTCATAGAGGGAGGAAATATGGATGGCCGGTTAGGAAAGTCGTGGCCTCTACATATGACAGTAACTTGGAGGCGTGAAAAACGGGATATGTCTTGAGGTGTGGGGGTACATCTATTATGTACGAAGGTCCATCAGTATCCCCTATCACCTTGAGAACTTCCCAGGGTCCATAATTGACAGGTAGGAGTTTCTGTGACACGTTCTCTTCCAAGGAAAATTCTTTAGACTTGACCCAAACAAGATCTCCTTCTTGAAACTGTGATGGCCAATGATGTTTGTTGGCCTATTCAATCATTTGTAGTTGGGCTTTGTGAATATTTTCCTTTACTTTCTTTATGTCTTCTTCATACAAAACTGCAAATTCTCATGTTCCTGGGGGTAGTCGTTGGACTTGGTCCCGAGTCAAAGCATCAATGGGACATCGCGGCTGCCAACCTTTGTGAAGTGCGTTCGGTGTTCGGCCTATGACTGTATGAACACTGATATTATACGCACTCGCAATCTTTGGCAAGTTCTCATCCAAATCAATTTGATCTGGCCGTACATACATTCGCAAAAGTTGTTGGCACAAACGGTTCATCTGTTCAGTTCGCCCATTCGTTTCAGGGTGCCTCCATCAACTTTTACCACTACTGACCAATAAACCGTACATCCTGATCAGAGATGATGTTTTTTGGAAATCCATATTCTGAAACCCATCACATCTGAAACTTCTGGATGACGAGTTTCGTAGCTTCGACAGAAAGAGGAACAAACATTGCATACTTAGAGAATCGATCCACAATGACCATTACCTGGCTATTGTCATTTCGACTCTTGGTGAAACTCATAAAGTCGATCGAGATGGACTCACGTGGCTCACTTGCAATAGGTAGTGGTCGCAACAGTCCTAATAGATTCTCATGCGAGGGCTTGTTCCTTTGGCAAACAAAACAAGCTCGCACATAGGTTAGCACATCCTCGTTCATTCCTTTCCATTCAAAGCCTTCTCTTACATTAGCATATGTCTTCTTCAATCTGAAGTATCCTTTGGTGTCATGACATTCCCCAATAATCATGCTTTTAATCTGTTCTTTGTGTGGAATGCAAAGTTTTTCTTCGGTTTTGTCAATAAAGAAGAGTAAGTCGTCAGACATTCGATATTCAGGAAAAAGTTCAGGGTTCCTTTGTATGGTCCCAATCATAGGACTTCAAATTGGAGCATCTATATAACCATTACGGATTTGATCTTTTAACTCATTCCCAATATCAAGATAGGAGACAATGGTTCCAAAGAAATCAGATCGTCTGTTTAATAGTTTTCAATTCAAAGTCAAACGTATCAATGAATGCAGACCATCTAACTAACTTGTCGGGGAGTCGTGGTTGAGTCTTTATCCACTTCATAGTTGAGTGGTCTGATTAAATAGTGAAGTGTCTCCCGAGCAAGTAGTGTTTCCATGTGTCTAGTGTTGCAACTAAGGCATATACTTCCCTTCCGTATGCGGAGTTGGTCACCTTGTTAAACGGAAGACTTGTTGACATAAACTCAATGGGTCTATATCCCTTGTCGTTATCTTGTTGTAGCACAACCCCAATCCCATACTAACTAGCATCAGTAGTAACAATGAAAGGAGAGAAGGATCAATAATTTTCAAAACATGATAGTGAGTTACTACATGTTTCAACATCTTGAATGCAGACTCACAATCTTTGTCCCATAACCAAGGTTTTTTTTTCTTTAACAATCTTCTAATAGGCGCAGCTATCAGTGAGAAGTTCCTTACAAACTTTATGTAGTAACTAGCAAGTCATAAAAATCTCAATTCAGTGAAAGTCTTAGGTCTGGGCCAATCCCTAATTGTTGTTATCTTTTATTCTTCAGGCCTTAATCCTTTGTCGTTCACTATATGTCTAAGGTATAGTACCTCGAGTTTAGCAAACTCAGATTTCTTAGGGTTCAGTTTATAGTTGCCCTCTCGCAACT